TCTTCTCATGTCTCAGTGACTAGGATTCAGGTCTAGTCTCACTCTGCTCTCTGCCTTCTGCACTGGGGCAGGCTTTGGGGCCCCCTGATGTGAGGAGATGTGTGATCAAACCTTGTGGTTGACATCATATGACAGCAATAGTACTGCACACACCAGCATTTATCCCTGGAGAAGTACGAGCTCTTCCACTGATATTTTGAGGGGTTGGCATCCAAGTTTGGAGGAATTGATTGACTGACTGACTTTACCCTAACTTCTTGCCATGGAGCTTTGCATAGCATCAGTTATATCTCTAGAGGGTCAGACTATAAGAAATCAGTCTTGGACAAGGAAATTCTTACTGGTCTTTTTTTATTTCTTTATTTTTTTGAGACAGGGTCTCGTTATGCAGTTCAGGCGGAACTTGAGCTCACTTCATGGCGCAGGCTGGCCTCGAACTCACAACGATCCTCGTGCCTCAGCCTCCCAAATGCTGGGATTACAGGAGTGAGCCACCATGCCAGGCCCCAGTCTTTTTTTAAAATGGGGGATTGAACCTCTCCCATTCCCTCTGAGTTTCATCTTTAATAAAAACAAACAAAACTATAGTCCTGAAAAATTAAACTGCTGGCATATTAATAATTCTACAAGACCCTAGAACAGGATTCAGTTTTCCTAATATTTAGGAGAGAAGTTGGGATTTATTTATTTATTTATTTTTATTTTAAAGATAAAAGGAGGGAAACATTAACAGACATACAACATTTTACAACATATCACAAGCACAGTACAGACAATACAGAGTTACAAACAAAGTGGTAGGGAATTAACAATGGTGGTTGTATTACATATTGATATCTTCAAAGTGGCTTCTCATGAGAAGTTGGGATTTAGACTGCACAATACTGCTGCCCTTACTAGATGGCTTCAAGAAAAGGGCATAAGGAAGAGACACTGTTAATATCTAGATGCTGTGATTAGAGCTCCCAGTGACCTGAATTATCATCACTGCTACTTCATAATTATGCTGGAAATTCCACCAGAGAAATAAAGCGATATTATTACATTAAGAATGGAATCCACGGGGAATTCCTGTTAGAATTATTTTTTTAAGCAGGAAAATTCTTTAAGCCATTATCCAATCGGTATTTCACAGATAATTCATTGGCAACTTTGCTGTTAACCAGTTTGTCCTTGAAGCACCAAGGAATACAACTATTATATTTTGACAATAAAGTGTTCTGAAAAGTTACTTTCCCCTTTTAATGTTAACTCAAGTGTGGACTGCCTCTATACATTTTTCAGAACACCTTGAATACCTTTAATTTCAACAATGAGATACTATTTCTAAAATGATGGATTAATATATCATTCATTTCAGGGAAAGCAACCCATGTTATAATTTCATCATTAACAAATTTTCTTGTATTGATGCAACTGTTTGCAGTTGAATTATTTATGGTAGTTTCCTGTATACAATAGATTGCTCTGAGGAAACACTGGCTGTGTTCCCTTGATTATGAATTTCCAGTTAGTAAAAACGACTGTCTTTAAAGTGTGGTTTAAACTAACAAACATTTAGATCATTCTGTTTATGCTGGAGCATTTTAAATTATATTACAAACAACAAACTTACTCTTGGATTGTCACTGCAATGACTATGCACATCTACTGTAGCATTTATCATGTTGGATTTAAATTACATTGTTTTCCTTGCTTATAAATCTTTCAGTGCTATTAGTAGGTATTCAATTATTCTTCTGCTTGTTAGAATAATGTTTAATCCTAACGGTAATAAATTGCATATTAATCATTCACTGAATCGGGTGCTTTTGTGAGTAATAGGCTTAATTACTAAAACTAATTTTATAGTTGAATGAGATAATCAGATATAAAAAATTGCCTTTGAAAGCAATAGCAATAATCATTTAGTCAAGAAAACTGGAATATTCTATTTGTGATCCAAGGGGGGATTACATCAAACAATGGACTGAGGTTAGTTAGACCAGAGGTGAAGAAAAAAATTCAATAAAGTGAGGAAGTATGAAAATGAATAGCCTGACTGGAAACAAACTAAATGCCAGGAATCCATGATGAGTGTGTGAATGTAGAAGAAGACACAGATAGTCAAGACGAGATCAAACGAAAGAGTAACTTGCCTGAAGGGTTTAAGTTAGTAATGGCATTGTAACATCCCAGGAGATGTTCATTATGAAAAAGATTTAGCCAGGTCTCTAAGTTCAGTGTGTGTATTTGGGGTTGTGTGTAATTATCGACTCTGATGGTAGTATTCAGCTCTTTCTGTTTAAACACATTTAGTTTTGATTTGGACATTTTCATTCATTTTTTAAAATGACTATAAGTACATTATTGTCATCTTCATCAACATTTTTTTTGCTTTTTGTTTTTTTTCCGGTACCGGGAATTGAACTCATGATCTTGCGCTTGCCAGGCAGGTGCTGTGCTGCTGGGCTAAATCCCTAGCCCCATTCATCAACATTTTGAAAAGCAACAGGTATATAGTACCCAAAACTTGCTAGAGCTAGTAGAATGAAATAAATTTAATCATACAAGTCAAATTATAAGACAAAAACACACTATAGAAACAACTTCAATTTGGTGGGAGAAATGTGTTTTGAATATTTTAACTGTCAATTAGCAGTGGTATTTGAAAGACTATTGAATAGAATTTTTTGTATTTAGACTTTTTACCAATCATGAGAATTAGAGTTTTTAAAAGCTCATAGAATAAAACAAAGTTTCTCTAAATATTTAAAACATTTTATAAGGGTTATTTTCCAGTCACTTGTAACAGGAATTAGATCAGATCTTCTACTGATAAAGGTAATTTTTTTTTTTTTTTTTTGGTTTTTTGGTTTTTCTCCGGTGCCGGGAACTGAACTCACGACCTTGCTCTTGCCAGGCAGGCGTTTGGCCGCTGAGCTAAATCCCCAGCCCCTGATAAAGGTAAGTTTTTAATGTTAAAATGCACTTTAACTTGTGGTTTATGCAAGTTGCTTGTCCTACAACTCGGTCAGAATGTGTTTTCCTTTTGCTATATTGAAAGATTAACCTATTAATTTTTTTATTTTTTCCTTCTGTGTTCATAACAACTAATAATCTGTACTTTTATTTATTTTTTAAAAGAATAAAAATAAAAATATTAAAAATGATACAGAATTTGAAAACAAGATGATAGGAAATTGACAGTGGTTGTTATATTGCATATTATTATCTTCAAAGTAGTTCAGATTACCAGGCATACACATGCAAAATTGATAAAAAATTAAGCATTAATTGTTCCTTTCAATAAACCCATAGAAATTAGTAGTACAATTGTCCTAGCTATCTTGTGTGCATGTGTGTGCATATGTATATACGTGTATATATATATATATTTTTTTTTTCTTCCTCTTCCTTCTTTCCTGAGCTGTATTTTTAAAGACATTATTTTTACACTAGAATGTGACAGCAGGAAGTTGGGAAGTACCTAAATATCAAATGACAGACATTAAATTACACAACACATTCATGCAGTGTTATTCAGTGAATGAAATCATGTTTTAGGTAAATAATGAGAAGGGAGAGGAAGGGAAGGGAAGGGGACAAAAATAATTAAAATGTGATGTACATGCACCAACTCCTCATGATGAAGACAACTATTATGTACTTGAAACATGTACTAACAAAAATGCTTAAAAATGTTGACATAACACAGAAATGACAATGATAAATGCTCAGTAAAAATAAGGAATTGTGTGACATAGTATCACCCCACTTATGTAATATGAGTTTCATATAGAAAATACACTCATAGAAATACATGCAAAGGAAAACATTCTCCAAAGGAAATGCACCAAAGGACTAATACTGATCTCCTTGGTGAGGAGAAAGAGATGATTATATATTTTTTCATTTGAAAATTAGTTTATGGATCCTACATAAGAATATGAGCTGAAATAAGCAAATCAACTATAAAAAAATAAAATGAAATTGGCCTCAGGTTTTTTTCTGTAATATTATGCAAGACAAAAGATAAAATAATATGTACACAGCATTATCAGAAATGAAAGCTTGTAGTCTGCTAATTCTTTTTTTAATTAGTACATATTTGTTATACAGAATAGGAGGTTTCATGTGGTATACTTGTAAAAGCATACAACATACTGTGATCCATATTTTTTCTTCCTGAAATGTTCTTAGTTTTAGTATTAAGATAACAGAAATATCAAGGAATGAGTTGAGAAATATGTCTCTGTCTTCCACTTTCTGAAAAAGACTATGTAAAAGAGTGTTCAGCAGAATTCTCTGGTGAACTTTGGGCCCGGAGAGGTTCTCTTTGGAGACTTCAAAATTCTGAATTAATTTCTTCCATGGTAAAGGCTGATCCTGGTATCTACCTCCTGCTGGAGGCATCGTCAGCTCATACTATTTCATCATCTCACTACTCAGACCTACTATGTTTACTTTTGGTAAACTCTGCTTTTCTACACATTTTTAGTTTATATTTTCTCATTTATAAATGGGTTGACTTTACTTTTATTCTTAGCATGCATAGACAAAAATGTGTGTACTGGCTTTTAAATGATTGCTCTCTTTGAAATATTTATTACAGAATTTCAGACAAGGTGATAGAAAATTAACAATAGTTATTGTATTACATATTGTTTTGCTTCTACTGTTCGGGTGTTGTTTGGTTTATGTCTATTTATTTGTTAATGTGTTTTCATTCTTTATCTTTAAAAATAAACAAATTAAAAAAAATAAAATATTTATTATTTCGGTTTATTTCATGGAAGTCTGTATTTGCATATTCTACTGGCTTATGGCATCTGAAAGGTAGATATTTAGTCATCAAAGAGGAAGAGGGAAGTGAAAATAGAATTGATTTCTTCTTTTTTAATCTAATTTTATGCAGAACTATTTTGGAAATTTTACATTGTGCAGTCGTTTATCTGGGCTTGGTTATCTGGGGTTAATTATGAATATTATAAAAATACTGCACAAGAACCACATCCATGTATTTGCTGAGATAAACCATTTATTGAGAAAGCTGATCACTTTTGTTTAAAAGAAAAACCATAAGACAAATGAAGGTGCCAACCCTGGAATTTCTTCTTCACACAGGTCAAATATGATGAGCAGGAATGACCATGCTGTTTCAGTCTTTTCTTTTTTTTTAATCAAGGTGCTTCAGGAGACAAATAATTCCCCATCTTGATCCAAACATCTAGTGACCTAAGTCCTATGAATGTACCGCCTTCAAAATTCTCAGCTTGATCCAAATCATCAAAGAATCAGATTTCTATCAAAGTCCACAGATGTCATTATAATGTCTCTTCTGTAAATTGCTGTACAAAGCAGGTTTTTCTAAATATCCAGGAGAGTAAGAAGTACTGCTATTTGGGATCAATTTGTAGCTAACATGTCTAGAGTTTTCCCCTGGTTATATCTCAGCCAAATGATGCAACTCTTTTCCACTATGTTGTGTACAGTGCACACTGGGTGTTTTAGTGAATTTTGTTTTCACATCTGCAAGTAGCCTTGCACTTTTCCACAAGCAGTTGATGATCACAGCCAGCTGACTCCTTCAAAGACTCGCAGTTACTAAGGAGATCTTCATACTCACAACTATTGGCTGAAACAAAAACAGAGTTGGTGACCTTATTGTCATTTTTGATAGTAGCGGTAAAACAAACTGCACACTTGGCAGAGGAGGTGGGAGTTAGTGTCACAGTGTGATAGGCTCTTTATGTCTTGAAAATCATATGTGGTAAACTCTCACTTTTTTTTGTGGGTACCAGGAATTGAACTCAGGACCTTGCTCCTGCCAGGCAGGTGCTTGTACTGCTAAGCTATATCCCTGGTACTAACCTATCACTTTTTAAAATGTAAATTCAGCAATATATTTCTAAAACTAATTGACCTACAGTCTCCCTCAGAATATAGAATAAAGTGAATATAAGCCTATCTCTACAACTGCAGAGTCTAATATGGGAACCACTACCAGCCACATTGTTATGGTTTATGTCTGTGTGTCCCCTCCAAAGCCTCATGCGACCATGGGGCAGGCTATTAGAGTTGAATGATTGTGGGTGTGAGAGCTACACCCACCCTGGGGTGGATAGTTTGCATATGCAAGGGAGAGGAAAAGAGTGCTTGAGGACATTCCTCCCCCATTCTGCCCTGGTGTGTGCTAGTGGCTTTAGCTGTGTTCTGCCGCCCTGAGCTGTAGCTCTTTGTCATGTGCCACTCTGCCTTATAATCTGCCAAGTAAGGACTGAAACTTCCAAGAACTGTAAGCGAAATAAACCTTTGCTTCCTTAATTTTGGGCGTCAGGTATTTTGTCCCAGCAACGAGGGAAAAGTAACCAAGACACACATATAACCTTTAGTTTGTATTAAATGAAACATTTCTGTTTTTTAGTTTCACTGGCCACATTTCAAGTGTTCAGAGGTCACATGGGACTAGAAGCTAAACTTATAAGACACACATAGAACATGTCTACAATCTTACATTATTGGACAGCATGGCTTTATATTCCAATGCTTTCTTTCTGGAGAATATTATCTTTATGGTTGGATGCAGACATTAAACAAAAATACCACGGACAAGGGATCTTTCCTCCAAATGCAAGGTCCTGAGTTTGATTCCTGGTACCCCCTCAAAAAATATGATTCTATTTTTTTAGATGTTCCTCCAAGAACCCCAAACAGCAAATTTCAAACTAAACTCATCATACTACCCACAGGGGTGAGAATTTTTAGATATGGTTTCTTGTACCTCTGCTCCACAGCCTCAGTGAAACAGAGCTCCAGCTATTCAGTTCTAGAGTTGGAACCAACCTGAACTCTTTTGACAAGCACAGGTAACAGACATGGACTATTCTTGTTCTTCATTTATTTAGGGCTACAGTAATGCACTCATTTTTTTAAAGCAATGTTTTCCAACAGGTCCATAGCTGGCTTCCTTTTGATTTCTCCATATATCACAAGAAAGCCATTTATAAAGCATGATTCCTGTCACTCCTTTGTTAATTCTTTCTATTGAGTGCTTATTGTTAAGATGATAAATTCCAAACTCCAACAAATAGCATTCAGCAGAGGTACAAGCTTTCAAGGGTTTTCCTTCTTAGTTGATTTGTAACTTTAATATTGACAATATTCTAAACTGTGTAGTTAAAGAAATAAGTCAGAAAAATACTAAGTAAAGGTAAACGCATTTGAAAGCTAAAAACCACAGTGAGTCACTGCTGTCATTCACAATTCCAATAAACTATCCGAACTACAAAAATATTATTTTGCCTCTACCTATGACTAAAATGAGATATATGACATTTTACTTTTCCTTATGCAGCATGTGTTCTGTGAGCCAACACTGCATACAGATTAGATTTTATCATTAAAAATGTTCATAAGGGCCTGGAATATAGCTCAGTGGCACAGCACCTGCCTGGCAAGCATGAGGTCCTGAGTTCGATTCCAGTCCAAAAAAATGTTCATAATAGTACCGTGAAATAATGGAGCAAATGAATATTTATTAAGATAAACACTGTGATCCTAATTATACCACAGAAGTTGAGAAAATCAGATGAATTTACTGGCATAAAATAAACAGTAATATTCTGTGTCCAGTCTAGACTGAGCCATAGTGTGATCTCAGTATCCTTAGATTTGTGCAATTTTATTTTTTAAAGTACTACTTTTGGCACAATTAACATTGATGAAATGAACTATTTCTCAAAAGCGTGTATACTAAATGTTACTAGGTTCTGCATAGTTAACAGTCATTGGTAATAGAGGTTTTATTATAATACATACGGTATATCCTTTCCATTACAAATAAAATGTAGGTTACCGAAGTGTGTGTTTAGAAATGCATTATTAAATCTTTGCTTTGGTTTTTTCATGAACACATTCTTTAATTGATTAGGGAATTTCTTAATTCATAAAACCAAAAGAAAATATCAACTCTGTTTTAACAGCAAGTTCATGCCTTCAGACTTACTGCATAATCCGTTTTCACAGTGATTAGGGCAGCTGGCGCAAGGCGTTCCTTGTTTGTAAGGCGTATTCTTGGTATTCGCATTATTACCCCTGAAATTTGAAACGCACAGTGTGAAATGTTTTTCACTTTGCTGTTTGGTTCACAATTTCAATCATCAGTCACCAAATATACATAACTAGTTACTCAGTGCCTTTGACTACATTAACAAAACTGAAAAATTATAATTCTGAAAGGGTAAATCATATAATAGTGCAAATTCACAAAATGTCCCATCTATCTGACCATAATTCCACAGCCTAGGCACCTAAAGTGAGATAAAAAGAATTTTCGGAATATATTTTAGTGTGGTAACATCCTCTTGGTCTCTGAAAAGATTTGGCTAATTTGCTAAGGCAGTGGACCTCAAGCAGCTGGTTAAAGGCAAAACAGTGCCAAGAGAGAAAGATCATGATTCTGGAGGTGGTTAGTTTCATTAAACAAAAGAATATTTAATATTACCAGAACAGTGCATATTTTAAAGATGATAAGTGTCATATTTTCTTTAATATGCAAAATAAAGCTTCTGCTATTTTTTTTTCCTTGATGGGGTCTGGTTTCTAATTAGTTGTGCTGGTTAGTAGTGTGGGCTTAAGGATGCTTTGTGAGTTTCTAGATGGCATGTGTGAGGTTTTTATGTTTACCCAAACAGGAATGTTGGTTGAAAAACCCACGCTTGGTAAACACAAATCCCCAGGGTATAACGATCTTACACTGAGAAACTCATGGACCATCACTATCAAATAGCCCCTTATCTCATCCTAAGCAATGTGAAAATGCCCAGGGGTCCAAATCTCAGTGATGTCAAGTAAGACGAGGGGTCAGTGCCGTGCAGCTGGTTCTCAGGGCCCAGACACAGAATACAGCTGCATTTGTGTGAGCATCTGGAAACACTGTGAAGTAGACATAAAAGTGCTCTGGAAGTCGTCTTTCCCATGCTTCCTATTACTATTCATTTCACCTGGGCCAGGCCTTGAGCTCGGATGCATTCTCCTAGGACCTTTCAATTCCACTAAACCTTAATAGGTGCTTGCAGAAAGATAATTTTAGAAGTCCAACTTCTCACACTGGAGCCCCCTGCCAGCTGGGTTATCTACAGTCTCTAAACAAGTGCTGCGGAACGCTAAGTTTGGGGCTCTCTCTTCAAACATTAAAAAATTAAAACTAGCAAATATATTGTGAATGTATCTTTAGTGAAGTATTTTTTTGTGGAGAACTTCAGACATATTGTTTAATAAAGGGTCATGTTATTTGATACATGTCCTCAGGAAGAGGATACCAAATTCTCTTGTGAGAATGCTGAGAAACTTCAAGAAAGAATCTTTGAGACTTGGAAGAGTGGATTGCTTATAATGGTAAGCGTAAAAGCATTTTTAAAAAGGTACTCAGAAATATTTGAGAGGAAAGGCCTGAAATCACAAGACATCAAATCCTACCTGCAAACACCCCAGGAAGGAAAGCCTCAGGTTTTATAATTGTACTTGAGAATTTGGTCTGTTCCCTGAGAAATTAAAGGTGTCTCAAACTTAAAGAAATTCCAAAAAAGTATATTCTCTTTATTGACATGTGTTTTTTATTCTGGTTTGTTTAATATATGAGACATTTTAAATGTTGAATTGCAGGTGATAGTACAAAAATGTGTATACTTACGCAGGACAGTACTGGCAAACGTAGTAGTATTTTAGACTATCTTGATTGGGACAGTAGGCAACTCCGCAGCCAACAAGGTAAGATGAATACCAAACAAGCTACAAATCCACAAGGGAATACACACAGGAGAGTATATTACAAAAGAGGAGGAATATTAAGCAAAAACAAATAGCAAATGCAACACTGAAAATGTTACTGACGCAGTTTTATCATTTACGAATTAGTGAGTCAAAGTCACAAAGGATTGAAATACTCAGTTTTTCATGCACATTCAGTGCTTTTCCATTTTTGATGTAGAAACAGTCATTGTATGCTTCTCTCCCAGGAATTTATTTGACTGAACAAAAGTGGCAAATCCAGATAAAGTATGGAGCAAATGCCAAGAATATCTTACGTATACACAGGTTGATCCCCTAAACTAAACACTAAAGTCAGTCATCCTTTAGAGAAGCTTTCTCTAGGACAATATTTGTGGCAGAGCCATCTGTCTGTTCTTACCTGTGTATAATGTCCCACAACTGCACTGCGACTCTTTGGACCTACTCCAAAGGTAAAATCTCGGCTCTCATCAAACCAGCTCTGGATGGCATTTGACCAGGCAGCAGGATCACTTGACATGTAGAGGTTCTCACCGCATTTGGTACCTAAGAAGGAGCCGATCATTTATAATGAAAGCACTAGATCGTACAAGAGTAAGATAAATCAACTGCAAAAATCAAAGATGCTGACCCTGACACACAGAGCCCCCGAGCACTAACTGTTGATTTATGAGGGGAGGGTGCGTCACTTCCTCAGCAGCTCTACAGTGCCTTGGAAGACAGAGTTGTCCAAAGTCCTGAGGCTGGTCCAGAATGGAAATTTTTGAGTAAGTTTTTTTTTTATTATTTTAAAAGGAATAAAAATTTATAAAACATTAGAAATGATACAGAATTTCAAAACAAGGTAGGAAATCAACAATGCTCGTTACATTGCACACTGTTATCTTCACAGTAGTTGCTCAAGATCCCATTCTTTAAAAACCCTTCCCCTTCTCGACTGCCAAAGATGCAATCATTTCAGTGCCAGATTTTTTTACTCCAGGGTTGTCAGCTTGGTACTGCAGGCTTGCTAAGGACAACATGAATTCTTACTGACACTTCTCCAGTTCTTGCCACCCCACCAAATATTTTTCACAAATAAAGACATCAAAAATGTTTAGGACTTTGTAAGAAATTTGTAAAAAAAAAAAAAAAAAGAGATAGAAAGCCTTTGCAGGCAATCTTTAGCAGTACCAATCAAGAGACAGCTGACACCAGGAGCAAATACAATTTTCAATATTCATGAGAGTTTCTCACCCGCGAGTCAGAATATCACAAGCCCATATTCTTCCCAGAATTAGACAAGAAGTGCCTTGCAGCCCAGAAATGTGTCCCTAGCTTTGCCAGCCTTTATTTAAAATTTACATTTTAGAAGCTTAAAATGTCATGTCTCCAGGCTGCCTGAAAGAATATAAAATGTTCTTGGATATCTCCCTTAACAGCAAATAAAGGATCTAACAGTACATTTAGAGCTTTCAACCTCTCAGTGGTAATCTGTCTGTGTAATTTCATTGTTACTATAGCATCCACAATATAAATACTAACAACTCAACTGAAATAATAGTCAAGCAACTAACTGATTTGACATGGTTACTTGCCTGTATGTGTCACCCATGTTAATATGAGTAAATATTTTATGGAAAGTTCATATACGCAATTTCCCCCTCATTTTTAATAATCTTTGATGTGTCTTTTTGGAGACAATTATAGCATCCTCTGCATCACACTAACTGATTACATACAACACTTCGTTGCTTGACATAAAGAATTTAAATATAAATATTCAAAATACTAATTTATATGAGTTTGCATACGATGTTCTTTACTATGACTTTAAAGGTTAAATATTTGTAGAGCAAAACTCAGGAGCAAGTGAGCTAATTTAATATATTTGATGAGTGAAAATAGATTTTACAGCACCCAACAGCTGTATGATACTGCTACCAGCCTTTGGGTAGTTCTGCATTCTCAGGTTCATCTGCTTGCCACTGGCCAAAACAGAACAGACCATTTGTTTTGGTAAAAAAAAAAAGGAGTTTTTCAAAGCTGGCTCTGAGGGCATGGTGAGGCCTCATCGCCCCCAGGTACCCTCTCTCTGTGTCTGTACAAGTGGGTTCGTGTGTTGGACAGCAAGGAACAGTTGGAGGGGAATTCAGCGAGAGGACAGACAGGCCCAGGCTTGTGTCTTTCCTTCCTGGACCTGACGTGACCTGACCTCCCTTTCCCCTTCCTGTGGAAATGAAGCTGACTTTGGCCTCCAGGTGTCAGTGTCTGCATACTGTGTGGTTTCAGCTGGATAAGGAGATGTGATGGCAGTTTATGCTCTAGGCCTGAGGAAGTTCGGAGAAGCCAGTTGTCTGCAAAGGAAAAGATCTAACCCTTCAAGTTTCATTTTACAATGCCAGTTCCCACATACAGAAAAGGCAGTTGTGCTAAAAGTCAGAAAGCTTGGTTAAGTCCCTAGTATGATGCTACTTCAGTGTGCTCAGTCTATTTTGGGTAAGTCATGTCCCTCTCAAATCTAGATTTCTAACCTTTAAAGTTACAAAATAAGTTATACAGCTGGGCATGATGGAACATATCCGTAATTCAAATGCTAAGGAGGCTGAGGCAGGAGGATCACCATGAGTTGGAGGCCACCTTGGCCTACATAGTGAGTTCAAAGCCAGTCTGGACTACATAGCAAGACCCTGTCTCAAAGAAAAGAAAGGTGATTCATGATACTATGTGAGAAGTTATTTGCATAGTGTAAATAAAATTATTTCTATGCTGGTTATCTCTCTATATATATCCTGAGCATTTGAGAAGATAGCAGAATAAACAGCATTTATTCAGGAAGACTTCTTAATGCAATATCCTCCAAAGATCTATTTTAATTGTATTTTTGTTAACAAATGTTTGCTAATATACATACTGGTCTTTCGGTCATCTGGGTTACTGTGCTGTAAAGTACACTTATTTGCCCACTTTTGTGCATTCACTGTTGCTTCTCTGCTCCATTCCTAAATGTCACAGGAAAAAGAAATATACTTAATGATTCAGTCACAATGAAGTGCATAATCTGATGGATTAGAAATGCTTGAAACTTCCATAGGAGTTTTACCTAATGATCTTTGTTATTAAAACTTTTTTTCAGTGTGTATTTACTTTCACTAAGGTCAGTCTGCACCCAAAGAAGAGTCCAGAGGTAATGTGTCTAAGGGCTGAAATATCTAACAGAAGAGTACCTACTCATGCACGCGTACCTCGGCTTTCCGGGAATGGCACTCCTTTAAATATTGATAAACACATGAAGAGCTCTCACTGTATTTTAAAAGTAATATGCTGGCCAGAGTTATGGCCAGCGCCTTTGACGCCTGCTACTTTCACATGGAGACAGGTGGCTTTTAAGGGTGTGCCAAGGGACTGGGGATGTAGCTCCCCGGCGTAGTGCCTGCCTGGAAAGCATCAGGCCCTGGGTTCCATTCCTGGTACCAAAAACAAAACAAAAACAAAAACGATGTGCGGAGGAAGGGGGCTTTTATTTACGTGAATAATGACATTGACTCTGAAGATAAGGAGCGATTGACTTAAGACCGGAAAAGTGTGACAACTTCACACTTTTATTGCTAGATGCTGAAAGATAGACTTGACTATAATTTTACTTTCAAAATCTAATAAACCTATAACTTTGATGAATTATTTAACAAGTTTAAAAATTAATCCAGGCTCAGCAATGTAACATTTCAAATAAAATAGGAAAATACAGACTGAACATTGCATTCCACAAAAGAGACGAGTTCTAAAGAGAGGCTAGCGCCCGCTGCCTGGTCCTTACGTGACTGCCTCGTACCATTTTTAGCATGTTGCTGGCAGAAGGGGTGACAGATTTCCTTAGTTCATTGTGTTTATTTACAATCTCAGTTTGCACTTGTGATTGGGTGGTCAACAAAGCAGTAAAAGCTGGATCCTGTGGAAAATAAAATTAGAATCATTTTTAAAGATTTTTGAAAATTGCTCATAATAGTGAATAAGTTCAAGGGAATGAAGATCATATATGTATAATATTAGGTTATTATGTGATATTAAATATTTGAAGCAAATATCAGCTGTTAAGCATTTTACTCAATCTGAACCAAAGATGCAACTTTCAAGTAGGACAGTGATGCACTTTAGCTTTAAAAATGAGTGATAATTCATGGAAGGACAAACTCAAAACTCCTCTGCGGCCACAAACGCTAATTTCTAGTTTCAAGAATGTGTGCAAAGCCAGCCGTGGAGGTGCATGCTTGTAATCCCAGCACTAGGGAGGCTGAGGCAGGAAGGTGGTTGCAAGTTTGAGACCAGCTTGGGCTACAAAGTGAGTTCAAGGCCATCCTGAACTGCATAGCTAGAACTTGTCTCAAAAAAGAAAAAAAAGTTTGGGCAGGGGATATAGCTTAGCAGCATAAGCACTTGCCCGGCAAGCCTGAGGTCATGAGTTTGATTCCCAGCATACACACACACAAAAGTGTTCAATATAATTTCTAATAAATAAATCAGTGACAATTTTTACAGCCACAATTCTGTATAAGAGGAATTTTAAGACGTATTCGTTCATAGTTGATCAGGCAGCAGCGAGATGAGATGAGGAGAACCCACGATTCATTCACAGGGAACTCTGCCCATATAGGGTGTCTGCAGTGAGAATGAGGGCTTACGCCCAGCCAGAAAGCATGTTTGGAGGAAAACAAGTTTAATTAAGTTTGCTTATTTTTCACAGTTGTCCAAATGATAGCTTTTCAATTAAAAAATCACTAAGGCCGTTAGAAGGATGCATTTCACCAAATGAGTAAACTGTGGCTGACTGCGTTCCTTTTAGTAACAAGAATGTCACATGAGGTTCTCAGGTGTTGATATTTTCAACTTATCTTTGTGGGTGTGCAGATGTGAGCTCAAGCCCAGTGGTAGAATAGGGTGTATGAATTGCTGGTATAAGGCCTTAAATTGACACAGGAGTATGCCGTTCCACGGGTATGAGCAAGATTTTGAGGGAAAGTCTGAAGTGACAAAATCACGCGATTTTCTCCGATGCTCTGAGACAAGTTTTGTGCTCTCCTCCCCTCATACTGAATTATCTTGAGATTCTTCAAATACTGTAGTCAGAAATATAACTACACTGCATTTCCCCTTTACTCTCTTCTGCTTTAAGGTCAGGGACTTTCAGTAATGTCCTCGAACCCACAGATCTACACTCCCTTTCATTAAAGAGGGTAATAGATCTTGTTTCTGGGGCCATTAAAGTACATTAGAAATAGGCGGTCTGAATTCAAGACTTTAATTACTAGTGAAATCTTCAATTACTAATTCTATGATTATAAAAAACACACTTTAGAGTTAGGTTTATTTTTAAATTTAAAAACAGATCTAATTCTTACATGGGAACTACACAGAAATTAAGTGTGTGATATACAAGAAGAAACTTTGCTAATTTAAGACTATCTATATTGTTAATTATCTGTAGAAGTCACATGGAAATGAAATAAAATGAGGAAATTAGAAAAGATCTTGAGGTGGGAGGATTAGTATTAGCTATTTACTCATAGATCATGCTGTCCTTTCAAAATGTCACTCAAGCCTAATATGCAATTTTAATGTAGGTGACCATACTAAAAGAAGATAATGTTAAATTAAATAATAGATTTTATTATAATGAGGTAAATGGTACTTCCCCAGTAGGGCATGTCTCAAACCCAGAATCATGAGTATGATCTTATTGGGGGAAAAGATAGACCTTTGTAGATGTAATTTTGTCAAGGATTTGGGATGAGGTCATCTTGGGTTATCCAAGTGAGCCCTTAATCGGGTGACAAGTGACTTTGTAAGGGACCCAGGGAGGAGAAGGTCATTTGAATATGGAGGCAGTGACTGGAATGATGCAGCCACAAGCCAAGGGATGTCAAGCATTGGCTGAAGCCTCCAGAAGCCCAGAGAGCGGTTTCCTAACTCCTCCAGAAAAGGTAGAGGTCTGCAACCACCTTCATTTCAAATTTCTTGGTTCTTTCACTGTGAAAAAATAAATTTCTGTTGCTCTCCATCAAGTTTGTGGTAATTTGTTACATGCCCTTACGAACTTAATATACTATTTAACTACATATCTGAAATACCGTATTTCATCATTTAGTCAACATAAAAATTGCTGTTGTGACTTTTTGTTCTGTTTTAAACTCTGATGTCCAATGCATCTTGCACTTGCAGTACATCTTGTCTTATCAGGTGCTCTATAGAAACACCGGGTGACTGCCACACTGGCAGGCACTACCTCAGTTTCTCATCTCTACAATGGAGCACACTATTAAGAACTCTGAGCTACAAAGACAATGGTGTGATGCATAAAAGCTTTCGACCTCTTCTGCTTTCAAAGCAGCTCATCATCCCATAAAGCTGTGCAATAGCTCTGAAAAGATTTCCCATTCTAACCTCACCTTTCCTTCTGTGGGTAAAGATGGAAGCAGCATAGTTATGAGAAATACCACCATCGGGAGCAAGGCCATTGCTGGAAACTAAATAAAAAGAAAATAAAGCCTTGTTATTCATACCTAAAATTCACCCTTAAAATCTGAATGGAAAGAAAGAAAAATACAAAACCAAGAAAAAAAAGAAAACAAAGATTAAAAAATAAGTAATACATGGGACTAAAAAAAGGCGAAACTACTGTAACGATCTCAGTTACTGTCAAGGAACTACAATTCATATCATCACTAACAGCGAAGCAGCGTGGGGTAGCCATATGCTGCCAGTAGAATCTTTGCCTCTGTAAAAAGTAACTGGAGAACTTGATTGGCGACCTTCAAGTATATTTGTAAAGACTAGAAAAATCCTAGCTTCTTCTTGGGTAGTTCTCTTGCCCTTTTTTCATAGAAAAGAAAATGTGGAAAAAAACAGTTGCCTTCACAGCTCATTTTGGTAGTGGCATTCACTCTTCATCTCAGGTCTTTGGGCAAGTTTATTTTCAGTGTGTACCATCTTTTGGTTTGCTATTCTCTATACAAAGTGAAACTGTCCTTTCACATCAGATTTGAATTGAAATTCCAAAGTTGTGATCAGATACAAATGTACAGACAACATGTCGGTGGCTAGTTCTCTAATGTAATGCCTATTATGTGTGTTTATTATTTCCTTATATTTGTATATGGCAACCAATTTTCTCATATAGGAGGATACAAATAAAATGAATGAGTTGAAAATCTAGCATGTTTGCCCAACCTATGATCTGGAACAAAAGCAGTTCAGTATTTTTGTTATCTTTTTAAATGACACTTAGCAACTCATTGCGCATGCTGTTCTTTTTTGGTGTGTCAAAAAGTATTAGGTCCTGTGAATGAAGCCATAAGACTTCTTAGGAAGCACTCCTGTTCCCCTCATTCATCAAATAAAGTAAGTGCTTGCTTTACAACTTAAAAGATGGTGCCCTGGTTTGTCTCCTCTGTGTAGTAATCCCCATTAGATTCTTGGAGGAAAATTAAATGTTGATACTTCTTAGGTTTCACTGATTTGTAAAGAGTAATTTATTGATATTGGTTGCATGTATTGTCTTTATTCTCAAAAGTGCATGCATAAAAGAGAGAATAAGTATTTTTTGATAGTTTTGGTAAAAATATACCATATAATTTCACTCTCATACCTTAGTGAGTGTGTCTCTATTTTGCAGATAAAGAAATGAAGTTTTACAATAGTTTACCTATGTCAGTGGTAATGTCTGAAATTAGGCTTCATCCAATTATTTCTTCAAGACCAATGCACTTAGTTTCAGTTGAGAAATAGCAAGTTGTTGGTGGAACACAATAGAGATGCTCTATCTTTTTAATAATTCTTATATTAATAAAAAACCGTGTATGGTAATAGTAACAAAAACCATGAATGTGACCACAGATAGCATAGGCACAGCCATACTTTTTCAGTTTTCCATTAAAAGTAGTTCTATAGGGACTGTTTCAAAAATCACGAGCATGAGAATCAATTATTTTTACCGTGAACTGTGTTCATAATTCATGTACATATCAAACTCATACTATTTTTTTTGTAAATAGCTCCATACTTACTTTGCAAACCTTAAAAAGTTGAGGTCATTCTTAATTTATCAAAATTTTGAAAACCTTGAATAAAATTATTAAATGTATCACTTTACTCTGGGAAACATGGAGATAACTGGCATAGTAAAATATTAACCTTAGACTCGGTAATCACTTACTGTAGGGTCTCACGCCGGGATGAAATCTCTGTGTATCTGTGGGAGCAGGAAAGGTGGCGAGCTGAAGTCTAGCACAAGAATATACAATATTATGCTTAATCCTGTTCTGGCAAATTCTGGTTGTGCAAATAAAACACTCTTCTGGAATGGTATTTTCCATATCCACAGTCTCAAATTTGATTGCCAGTTGTCTGATGTTGTTTTAACATTATTTGTTCTCACATGGGCACTAACATGAGTAAGGAAAGCAGGTAGGTGCTCCCTCCTCAGCCCTCCTTCTCTTCTTAGCCACATTAAAATCTGGAGACTTCCTTTTGGTGTAACGTTTCCTTACTGATGACCCGAGATTGGTTTATTACTAAGAAGATAATCAGGATGTGCCGTAAAACTGGGTACTCATAGCTCAGCTTCCTATTAGTTTTGCTTTAGACTTACCAAACACCTGTATAGATTATTGTTTAGTAAGAGTACTGTCTTTGGAAACCATCCAGTTTGGGAAATCCTCCCTGAGCTTTAGTTTTCTCTTATGTAAAATTTGAATAATCACATCATAGTTTTGCTTTGAAAACTGAGAGGCATGGTACATATAAAGCAACTAATATATTTATATGATACAAAACATATATTTAATAAATGGAAGTTATTAATATTTTTACTATCATCCTTTGCAATACCTGGAATTTTGCTGAGCTCAAAAGATTTTCCATAAAAATATATTGCTTCAATGAACTGCTTATTTCAGACATATTAAGAGATCTCCTTATCCTTCCAAGTATCACAGAAAGAAAAGGAGAATAATATAATTGGAAATTCAAGGGTTGAGGCCTGGCTCTATCAAAGATCTTCTGACTCACCTCAAGGATCTAATATTAATTTGCTGTGTTCTCATCAGCTAACTGAAAGGTATACACGTGACCTTGAAGAGTTTGAATGGCCCAATCGCTCATCATGTTTTTATTAAATTACCCATAATTCCATAGTTGGCTAGGCCACAAGACCACATACTGGGTTCAATTTCATTCTCCTCTCCCAGACCCTCATGTATCCAACCTATGATATTTGTTAACCAATGAAAACAGTGGCACTGTTAGTGAAAGTATATTCAAGAAAAATATTTTTTCTATGCTCTAAATTTGTATTTTGTTCCCTTAAATCCACACTTAAATTTAACTGAAAAGTTGGTTACCATTTTCTCCCTTGCTACTTACAGAAAAGCAAAGTGTCCTTTCTTGTAGGTGTTTTAGGAGCAGGAGGACAAGGTTCTCACAGGAGGAGCATGGTAGATGGTTTCATGCTTACAACCCTTGAAAGAAAGACGTGAAGAAGGTCCTTATAAATAACATCTATGATCTCTGTCACAAACTTAAAACACGGCTCAATGTTTAGTATTGTTCTCCAATATTTTACCATATTTATTTGATCGAATCACTAAGACTATCATCTTCTAAGATCAGACTATTTCAGTATCCTGGTATTTCCTTCAAACAACTAACAAAAAATAGATGTCTTAATGTTTAATAACTATGGTTGGATAACTTCCGTGGAAAGTCCCAGCATATTTTCAAGATTCTTGATTCTGTCTTGGACTTCAATCTGTACACTTCTTCAAAACATAATTTCTGTGAATAGTCTCCATCACAGGGAGCACTGACACGGGGACCTGCCGGGTGGGGGTGGGGGTCACAGCTTAATCTCTTCCTACCTTTTTCATCATGGAAACCATAAAGGACAGAAAGTTCAGATGACCCCCATTCTGATCGTTACATTGTTTGTGTGGTAAACAATGAAAATGAGTGTGGTTTCACAGCCGAAACAAGAAACCAAGGTTCTGAATTTGACCTCTGGAGAGACCAGGATTAGAGAAGACTTAGCTCTTCTGCTGTGAGTCAGCGACAAGAACAGAATGGCTTATCTCCTAAGATAGAGAAAGCTTTCAGAAAGCTGGACACAGAGAAGCACATCTTACTAAGCATGTACTAAGTAACGAACCTAAACTACCAGCCCTCCCTGAATGTTTTCGTAGCCCCTCATCTCACAGGTCTTTCTCTCTCCTGACTTCATCCTACCCCCCACATCCTGGTCATTTTCAGTCTCCCAGCTTGCGTGAGTATTTACCCTGGCTCCCCAGGGCACATCTTCCTGCCGCCGGGCGGCGCTCCCCTGCCTTGGCGACTGTTAACTCCTCCTGCTGCCACGCGGGGGCGACGTCACAGCCTTTGTGCCTTCAGCTCTCGGGCTCAACTGGGTGGGCTGACCTTCTGGTCATCCAGATCCCGGACAGCACCAAAAACATCCTTCGCTTTTCTCTGTGCAGAGGGGAGTTCTGCTTTTGTCACTGCCACTGTGTGGTGAGGAAAGTAAACGTCTATTCGCATTCCCGAACAGTCCTAGAATTACTTAGTACATTTTTTTTTATCATTTACTGCAAATATATTTTCAGTTTTAGAAACACCAGTTCTGTTATTATTACTTGTTTTCATCTGCACCTTGATGGTGTCAGAACGAGGGTGACTTGGGCACTGCGGTGATAGATATGGCTGGGAACCACTCGTGTGAGAAGTTAGCTTTGTTTGTCTTGATTGTTACATCTCCAAAGCCTAACAGCGCCAGTCACACAGGTAGAAGTACGTGAACAGATGTCCTGTGAATGGATATCGACATGGACTAGATTTTTAGGGACTACAGAAAAATTGCACATGCTTACAGTATTGAGAAAGAGACATACATAGGAATAAGTAATATTACTGGTAGTAGAGTTAATATTACTGGGAGTAGGTGGAGCAGAAAAAATATAGTAAAGTCTCTGTTCATAAATGCTTCTGTTTGCAAACAATTCGGTTTGCAAACAAGTATCTGACTAAATTTTGCTTCCATTCACAAACTGAGTATCAGGTGACAAACATGACCACGGCCATCTTCCCCACACAAACAGAAATGCAGCCCTTTCCCCTCAAATTGTAAAACAAATAAACTTCTTTAACCAAAGTACTTCTGTGTACAGTCCTGGGGAGTTCTGTGAGTTGATATGTTCCAGGTAAAAACTGAATGATAGTTTTTTCATTTTCAAAAAAAATGAAATTTTTTCATTTTTCAAATGAAAATTTGAAGTGTCTTTGAATAATGTGTGTGGCTTTATGCAAAGCAGGAAAGGGATTTGGTATATTTGGAGGAGCAAAAGCAGACAAGTTAGTGTTTCACACGGCATAGTTACTCAGAATGACTTGAAAATATTGAAGAACTTTTGCATAGAGGTCTAAGGAGATTTGCTTCTCTGGAGGACAAGGGAAAGTAATTCCACTGATGTTTGGAAGGTTGGGAAGATAGCTGGTCAAAATATCATCTGAAGAAAGTGACCTGATAACGATGTACAGGCTGATTCTCAGAGCTGAGAAATTGGTGACAGAGAAAATGAGTGTGGTGATTTCATCAGAAACCATGCAGGGAAAATCCTTTTGTTTTTATGTATGTGGGAAAGCACGTGGGAAGAGCATCTCTATTCCTGAGAGGAAAGTGTAGGTACTTCCATCTACTCGTGTAAAAATCATAGGAAGAAGGGTTGAAAATTCATTGGCATTGAAAGACCTTGATTCTGATCTCTTCACTAATGAAGTGTGTAACTCAAGGGAAGCAAGCATATATCTCCTATGAAGCTTAGTGTCTTTGAATTTGAAGTGTAAGATTTGCATTTAACGATCACTGAATTTGGATGTCCCCTTTTCAACTTCAAATATGCAAATTTTGAAAATTAAGGAGCAAAACTTTGCATATCTTATTGTGTGTATACTAATCTAACTAGACATTCGGTCTCTCAAAATTAATGTGCATGTTTTTATTTTATGCGGAGTGTCATCTTGTATCATATTACTGTACTAGGATAGAATGACCTAGATAACAGCCACCTTCATATAAATCCCAGTTCTAACATACAAGTATAATATGAAGACTAAAAGTGATCTATTTTTCACTTTTTCAGAAAGATACCTAGAAAGGGAACAGTTGGATCAATGGAATTTCTAGATCTAGATTTTTGGAGGAATTTCCATACTGATATTCACAGTGGTTGTGCTAGTTTATATTCCCACCAACACTGTAGAAGGGTTCCTTTTCTCCGAAGCCTTGTTGTTATTTGATTTGTTATTTGATTTCCTGGTGACTGCCATTCCTTGTGGAGTAAGATGGAACCTTAGTGTTGTTTGATTTTTGCATTTCTCTAACGGCCAGCAATGATGAACATTTTTTTCCACATATTTACTGACCATTTGTGATTACGAGGAGAGTATTTACTTCAGTTGTCCATGTTTATTGGGTCTTGTATTGCAGGGGAATCTAGTCTTTTTCAATTTATTCTTTATATATTCTAGATAATAGTTGTCTGTCTGAAAAATAATTGTAAAAATCCTTCCCCATTGTGTAAGGTGTCTCTGCACTCTGTTGGCTGTTTTCTTTTCTCTGTAGATATTATGTCATTTATTGATTTTCAGTGCTACTTCATGAGATGCTATATCATCAGTTGGGGTTTGGGGTTCTGTGGAGAAAGTCCTTGCCTATGTTCTTACTTCAAGATTTCTAAAATTAATTTAATTTTTTAGTATACACTTGTAGTACAGAGTGTTATCCATTTTATTTTCCAGCAGAATGTTTCTGTTTTAACATTTAAAGCTTTGATCCTTTTTTATTGTAAAGAGAGAGAAAAAAACAATAAAAATGATAAAGATTTCAAAACAAATGATAAGAAATTAACAATAATTATTATATTGTATATTTTTATCTTCAGAGTAGTTGTTCAGATTACAAGATACAGGTATGCAAAATTGTTCAAACAATTTAAATACTAACTTCCATTCAATGAACTAATAGAAATTAGTAGTACAAGTGCCTTAGCTATCTTGTGTATATGTATATATATATATTTTTTTCTTCCCTTTTTTGCTTTTTTCCCTCATCCCAGCTGTTCATTCCTTTTGAGCAGTTTCTTTCCTTTTCACAGTATCTATTGTACCTTTTAGATCTTATTTACTTTTTTGATTTCTTACACTAGGGAGACAATATGATGTTTACACGTGTGAGTCTGATTTATTTCACTTAAGAGTATGGTCTCTAGTTGCATCTTTACCTATAAAAGCCTCAAGCTTATCTTTCATTATAGCTGAGTAGTACTCCAGTGTATAAAATCCATTTTGATTTTAGCATAGTATGTGGTGAGAGATATGGTCCTCGGTTCAATCTTCCGCATGTGTGTAGCCATGTGTATAGTTTTCCCAGCCCCACTTGTTAATGAGGCTATTTTTCCTTTATGTATGTTTTGGTCCTTTCCTCCAAGATCAAATAGCTGAATGTGCCTGGAGTTCTTTCTGCATCTTCTGTTGTGTTCCACTGATCCACATGTCTGTTTTTCCCATTAACCTTAATAACAAGCAACAGTCCTATTAGGAGCTTCCCTCAGGGATCTCCTGCCCTTCAGATGTGTTGTTCATTTCCTCCACTGCGGTGTAATAGTTCAAGTTCCCCACTGGGAGTCTGGATGAGTCATCTCTGTTGACATCAAAACGCCCCTTTTAGCTTGTTTACTCAGAGCCATAAGGAACCCAAAAAGACAAGTGGAATTTTTAGTTTTGTTCCGTGGAGTCATTGCTGTATTTCCTGACATAAGCCTTCTCTCCTTTGAAACAAAGACTTCTAGGCTAGGGAAGCATAAGGACATGGGAACAGGAAGGAAAATTTTGTCAGTGGGTCACTAGAGTAACAGTGAGTAGCAGTAACATTCACATTTCCACCCTTTGATTCCTGGACCCATGAATTCTGGCCATGGAAGAAACAGAACCATTTAGTGGACACTGACTCAAAGCAAATACAGCTTTCTTAGTCACCTATATTTATCCTCCTTCCTTTATAGTTTTATTTTCTGTAGTTTAAGTTACAAGTGGTTGAGTATGGTGTGAAGGAATGAGAAACATTTTGGAGATGATCACTGAGGTATGATGTCCTTTTTCAACTTCAAAAATACATTGCATAAGTTTGAAACCATGCCATGCTCTGAGTAACGTGATGAAATCTCACTATGTCCTGCTTGGTGCTACCTGTAAATGCCTCATCACCATGCCCAGAACATCTATGCTATGTGCACCACGTACCTGTTAGTCACTTAGTGGCATCTCTGCTGTCAGACTGACGCTCACAGTGTTCCAGCACTTGTGTTCAAATAACACTTTTTTACCTAATTATGGGCCCAAAGCACAAGAGTAGTGATGCAAAGGCGGCCGCAGGCCACAGAGCACAGGACAGACAGATGAACCTGAGTGTGCGGCGGTGCTGTGGGGCACATAGGAAAACACAGTGTATAGAGTTCTATGCAAACCTCTGTGCTGTCCTCAGCCGAGTGAGGTGTGAGCCTTGTGTTGGAGTTCTCCAGGTAAGGGAGCCTCGCTTGTTTTCTGTGCCCAAAGCCAAAGCAGGGTTCAGAACACAGTGCTGCCCTAAGCTCCAGCATTTCCAGACTCAATGGTGAGGAGAAAAATTCGCACGACATACTTCCTCACTGAAGAGGATGAGTGCTCTCCTTCTGGGATTATTTGAAGAAAATAGCATGTTAGACATGCTTCAAGGATTTCCTTCCTGTGTGCACCTATTATGAAAGTGTGGACAAAATCCACTCAATATCTGCAGCAATTTTTGGAATTAAAAAGGGTATAACTATTTCCACACAGTGTCCATGAAAGTTCCCTAACAGGTGGCAGTTGGGAACCTAGAGCACCGGGTCTGTGTTTTGCAGGTGGGTTAGAACAAAGCCCTGCATGGGGGGCTTGGTGCTGAGGCCTCCCTCACCCACCTGTGGGGCAGCTGTGGATTTCTTATTTGGGATATGAGAAGTCTGTGACGGAGACATCCTGGGCCATTGATACCAGGCTGATCCTCCTTTCACGCAAGTTGGGAGAATGTTGCACTGGTCATGCCTCAGTTTTGCCTTCTGACTCCTTTCATCCGCTAGCAAGGTCCCGGCCCTCAGAGGTGAGTCTGGAGGACCTGGGACCAGATTCTGCAGAATCTTCTCTCAGCCTCTTGGTTATAATTGATTTAACTTTCTTTTTTATACATGCCTTCTTGATTACACCAGAAAGCCTACTGCCTTCCTAGGGAAAGACATTTGTACCCAATTAAATAGCACCAGCCTCCTGGCACTAGCACAGCTACTTTACTTGCCACTAACAGAAAGAGAAATTAATCTG